TGAATGTCTATGTATTGACTGTCAGTTCTAGTTTTGGTGGTTTTGTTTAAGAGCATTGCACAGATAATGGCATTTGGCCCAAAGGAAAGATACCTCAAACTGCAATGGGATTTCTTTAATGAGGTTTGTTATTATTTGTAATGTACTGACCTGGTCATGAATCAGGCTTTTATTGTGTACTATAAACCCACAGGGCAAAAGAAGTCTTAGTTTTAAACTAATTCCAACCAAAGCATAGTTAAATGTTAACAGAGCTGACTATCAAAAGAACAAAGCATGTTAATAAAAAAAATTTTGAGGATAGGAAGGAAAACAATTATTCCTGATTTAATTAAAGAAGCAAGGAAATCAGCTGTTGTTCTGGCGTTGTGGCTATTTGTGAGGTGTTTCTCTCTTGTACAGAATGCACATTTGACCTTTCAATAGAATACAGTATCTAATGGAAGAGAAAATGTCTCATTAAAAGTGAAAGTGATAGATAGCATCTATTAATCAATGGTATGGAAATTCTTTGGGCCTCAGCCTTTGTGTTTAGATGTATCTCTTGGGAATCAATATTGTTTCCAAGTAAATAAACCAAAATCAATAGGAGACATGTGTTTCATTTTGGTTGCAAATCATTAGTTTTCAGTGTTTTTTAACCTTAAGTTGCAAATAAAATCTTTAGAAAATTGTCTTTAAAAAATAAACAATACTCTGGAGACCTCGACATGTTAAGTCATGCACTAGAGCACCTTGCAGACATCTAAGAGCTACTCCTGTAGTCATTCTTAGTGGAAAAAAGCTGTGTGCTGATTCTGGATAGAGTTAGTTTTCTCCATAGTAGCTGGTATGGGGCTCAGGTTTGGATTTATGCTGGAAACAGTACTGGGAACTCAGATTTTTTCTTTAATACTGAGCAACACTTACCCTGAGCCAAGGCCTTCTCTGCTCCTCACCCCACCCCAGCAGCGAGAGGCTGGGGGTGCACAAGGAGCTGGGAGGGGACACAGCCAGGAGAGCTGATCCCAACTGACCCGAGGGATATCCCAGATACGGCCTCATGCTCAGCACATATCTGGGGGAGGAGGAGGGAAGGGAGAACGTTTGGAGTGATGGTGTTTGTCTTCCCAAGTCACTGTTATTTTGCTGTCCTGGGGATGCAGAACATGCCTGCCCTGGGGAAGTGGGTAGTGAATTTCTTTTTCTGCTTTGCTTGTCTGTTCATCTCTTACTTCTTAAACCATCTTTATCTCAACAAGCTTTCTTATGTTTACTTTTGTTTTTCTCTCCCTGATCCTGTTGGGAGGGGAGGGAGTGTCTGTGTGGGGCTGAGTTACCAGGTGGGGTTAAACCACAGGCTGCAAGGAGGATTCTGCTTGAAAATATCCATCAATGACTAGGGCGTCTATGTTAGGAATAAAACATTCTGAGTTTTTTTCCCCCTCACTCCTTCCTGTGTCTTCCCATTCTTCTACTCTAAAGAAGAGTAGAAGTCTGCTATTGTAGAAAATGCCGACATAAATCACCAGGCTGCCAGCCTTGTTTCAGCCATTTTTCCTTTTCTCTCTCACTCCCTTCTAAGTTTCTCCACAAAATGTTGCATCATATCTCGTATACTAAAAGCCACTAGAGTTGGCTTTGCTTTCCCTTCTGCTGTGACTTGGAGGAGATATTGGGCTGTGGTGGTTTTCCTAGAAACAAACAAACCCCACCTTGATTTGGGATGTAAAAAGCTCAAGGATAACAAAAATCCTGCTGTCTTAGGTTATTCCTGAAGGCATAGATTGGACAACAGCTAAAGCCCAAAGAAAACAAAGTAGTAACAGAGGGAGTGGAGCAGAGCAGAACACAAACTTCTCTGCAGGAAGCGAAGAAGCCAGTGAGTCATTTTTCCTCAGGGACAGAAGCAAGAGCCATTTATCACACAAAAATAAACCAGTGAATTTGGGGACACTGCCTGTACTGCAGTGCAGCATTACATAGTCACCATCCTATGTTGTTTCATTGAGTTATTATGTTGTAAAGTTCACACAATCCCCTCAGTTGAGCACCTGACTGACATTACCCAGGTGCTCCGGAAAGAATGGGCCTATTGTGAAATTGTATCCTCATTAGATGTAACCTGCAGAACATTTACCCTACTTCCCATCACAAAAAGCCTAATCAGTGTCCTTGTTTTCTTCTACTGGATGATTCATACAGAGATGAAAGTATTGTGGTTCCATCTTGGCTAACGTTTTTCACAATGTTGTAACCATAATTTCTGAAGTTTTGCTTGAAAATATATACTGAGGGAAAGGAGAATAAAAACTGAGTGACAGAACTAGTACTTAGCTACAGAAGTTAAAGGGGGCTTAAGACACACATTAAGATGAAAGTGTAAAGGAATTTTCTTTGAAAATGTTGAATATGCAGTTAATACAGAACCAGATTTAATACTAAGAGAAACAGAGAATTGGCAGTAGGAATGAAACTTTAACAAATCTGTTAAAAGCTATCAAGAGACCAAGTAGCTGGTGGAAGAAAGAAGTAGGGCCAAAGAAGCTCAAATTGGAGTTGAGTGAATATGGCAATAAAGTATTTGTGAATATTCCTGTAAAACCTGCTGATTTGATTTGCTGCTGTTGCCTGCCATTTTAATCACTTACAAACATCTGGTTCAGCTAATTCTTATTCACAAGAACAAAACACAGAAGACAAAAGCAGCATAGACACTTGTGTAGATTTCTGAGGTATTCCCACTAGAAGCGACTTAGTCCTTTTGAAAAGTTTTTTTTCTTTTAATTTGCACAAAAGGCTATCACAGTGTGCATGAGTACACACATTGCATGTGTAATGAGGAAACTGCTGAAAGCCACAACCTGTTTGTAGAGCATTTGTGAGTTAAAGGAAGGGAAGAGTTCTGATAAATAGTGTTGATCCTGTAAAGATAGGAAAAAGTCATGAAGGACAGGTATGAAAAACATGTATATAACATGAATAACCAGTATTTGAGCAGAAAGTGGTCTGGGGATATAACTCCTTTCAGCTTACTTAAAGGTTAATCCAAAGCCTGCAAGAGTTGATTGGTTAACTGCAAAACTTGGATATCAATGCATTATATAAACTTTTAGTACTGCATGATTTAAATAAATCCAGCTTCTCTGAAGTTGCAGCCTTTTGAGAAATGCCACAGGTGTGTGGGCACAGCATCACTTCATGGCAGCTTTGTTGCTTCAAAGTGTCTTACTAGTTTAACTGAGAGTGATGGGGTTTGTGCAACTTCAAGTTTCCTATCTCTCCACCGTCCCAGTTTTAAGCCAAATCAAATATTCTTTGCCCTTTCATAGCAGGAAGTGCATAATAATATATATTATAGTGATCTAATGATATGTTTCCTAAAAATGTAAGAGGTCTTTCTGTGCTTGGAACAGTGTACTTTTCTGATCTTCAGCAGAAATGCCAGACTATCTTATTTTACATTTGTCCTTTCTCAGATACATTGTGTGGTCTCTAACATCTGCTTCAAATCCTATGAGACCCAGCTCAGAGGGTGAAGCTTTATTAGGTCATCTTTTTCATTTTTTGCTGCCAGTTTTAAAACTTCCCATGTGAGATGTCAGCTGCCTGCTCCCCCCTGAGGTACTGGAAGCCTTTTGCCCCACAGCAAAGGAAAGAACACACCAGTCCTCAAGAAGCTGCCTGGGGGGAACAAGGCTGTAAGTCCTTGTCCAGAATGGGATTTGAGCCTATGATGTGTGGTGTCTCTATTTCACACTTTAATTTTTCTTTTGTGTTAAAGTAGGTGAAGAAAGGTCTAGAACCCACATCTACTTTTAAGCCTTGGGTTTTTTAATTCTTCAGTTTTTCCTGCTGTAACTTTTTCAGTTGGGGCTGCTGCTCTCACCACATCTTTCAATGGCACCTCTGTGCCTGTGCAGAGGAGTGATTACAACTCAAGGAAGTTCTCTTCCTTGGAAAACTCATGGCTCTCAAAGAACTACTTTATACCAATTGGCCAAAGAGCTGCTGGCTGGGGTGGTTTGTTTCTTTTTTAGATCTTGTAGCCCAACACTGAGTTCATAAAGAAGGCCTTGGGGCCACTCTGGGCTCCCTTTGCTGTCAGCTCTGTGCTCAGCTTTCCAGTACTTGTAGGGTGGTGAGGTTTATCACTGCCTTTGAGGCTTCATTAAGTGTGTGGAATTACTCTTTCAAATCAACGTCAAATGACTTTTGCATAAAATACTGGTACAACAAAAAAAAAAAAAAAAATCAGGTGGATATACTTGGATGGGTGAGTATCAGCATTTTTCAGGACTGAAACTGCAGCCTTGGCTGCACATCATTTCTCCAGACAAATGCTTTTCCTGCCATTCTCTCCTAGAGGGAGACAGGCCTCTTCTCCCTGGTCGCACATTCATCTTATCCAAATCTTGCTTCAAGTTTCACTGTATTTCTGAATCCCATGCCTGAACACCCTGTTCCTCAACTTTTGCAGAAACAGAAGCTGTGGCTATAGATATCAAAGTGCATGTACTAAACTCAGGTTGCATCTGCAGCCTCCAGCCATTGCTCTTCACTTGGTTTCTGCCTACCTTTCATGTTCTCTGTTAATTCTTCCTCAAGATGTCAAGGGAAATGTTATATATATGGGAAACATTAAGTTGCACTTACTGAAACTGAATAAACAATTTCCTTGATCCTGCAAAGATTTTTGTATATGCTTGTCGTGGTTTGACATTGGCCAAATGCCAGGCACCCACGAAAGCCATTTGCTCACCCTCTCACTCTCAACAGGGCAGAGGAGAGGGGGATAAAAAATTAACAAAGGGCTCACACGTTGAGATGAGGACTGGGAGAAAACACTCAAAGGGCAAAACAGGTTCCAATTTGCAGGTATAAAGTAAATTTATTATTAACCGAGTCAGAGGAGGATAATGAGAAGTAAAATAAGCCTTTAAAGCACCCTTTTTCCCCTCAGCCCCTCCCACCAATAGTGCAGGGAGACAAGGCGAGGGGGTTTTGGTCAGTTTGTCACCTGAGCTCGTCTGTTTGTTCAGGGAGAGGAGTCTTTGCTGTATCTTGGGGTCCCTCCCACAGCAGACAGTTCTCTGGGAACTTCTCCAGCATGGCTCCACTCTCACGAGCAACAGTCCTGCCAAAACTACTGCAACGTGAGTCCAGCCCTCGGGCAAACAGTCTTCCCAAAACTGCTGTGCCGTGGGTCAATTATCCTCAGGGTGCAGTTCTCTAAGGACAGGCTGCTCTCGTTTGGAAGCAGGGGCCCTCTCTGTCCATTCGGGTCTCTCACTGGATCACAGCTTTCTCTGGCATCCACCTGCTCCAGCCCGAGCTCTTCTCCCACGGGCTGTGGGTGGATTTGTGCATCCCCCGTGGGTCCCCATGGGCTGCAGGGGCGCAGCTGCTTCACCACGCTCCTCACCACGGCCTGCAGAGGAATCTCGGCTCCGGTGCCTGGAGCACCGCCTGCCC